GGTGGCAAGATTGTGAAAGCAAGTGTAGTCGAAGAACTCGTTGCCTTTGATGTCGATCCAGTCAGCCAGATCCGCGTGTTGCCCAGCAACACCGAAGGTATCCAGCGTCAAAGCATCTGGGCATCTGGTCGTGACAACAAGGCATACGAGTTTTAACTTGTATCTAAAACCATATAGGCGAAAGAAAAAAGATTAAATATATTTTTATACACATTTAAAAAAAAACATGAAAAGCAAATAATTACGGATCAGAAAGTAATTGAGAAATATCAGTATCCACATAGGACTGGTTCAGTACAGCTCTAGATATCCGATCGCTAATTGGAGTATTCTGCAACGGTCCACTAAGCTCCATAGACATATCAGCCAATTCCTTTTCAAACATTGCCACAAAATCAGTAGTGCCGTTACTTTTATTTGAACCTTCATGTTCTGACACTTCCCCAGATGCTTGTTTTGAAACCACCGTTGACTTTGCGCGTTTTCTTTCAGATGCATCGCTCATATCATCATCATCATCATCATCTATAACACGTATACGACGTTTACCAACAAGACCGCCAAACACTTTACCCTTATCCATTACTTGCGGAGTAGGAGTAACCGGAGCACTCCTAACCACCGATACCGCTGTAGGTTGAACAGGACTACCTGTAGATAATCTAGCTGCCTCTTCTGCCTGTTTGCGTCTCTTTCTTTCAATGATTTCTTGGAATGAAAGCATCTTGGGCAACGAATCGCCACCATCGACACTAGTTGTAGTAGACGAGGCTCGGGGTCTAGAGTCCAAGTCATTTGACAAAGCAGCCTTAACTACCGCTGTCTTGGCCATTGTTGGTATAGCGGGGTTTTCAGCAGTGGTACCTGTGGTTGTGTCTATGACTTTGATGGGCGCGGCTAACTCTGCTGCTTTGCTTACAGGAGAAGGTGCTTCTGGAGACGGCTTGTCGTTGCACTGAGTCTTTTTCACCTGCTCGTCTTTTACTTCCACGGGTTTCGCGTTGTGTGGATCCTCTGTGGGCTCGAGGGCCTTCATGTAGGTTGGGAACTGGGATGCGTAGCAGACCATTGATACAGGCGAGTTTGACATTGACCGATCGCTCCCCACCGGATCTGTGGCTGTAGTTTTGCTGCATTTTTCTACAGGCTTGGAATCGGACATGGATTCAGCAACAGATTCAGCCCTGGAACTGGCTTTTGATTCTGCACTGGGCCCCAGTGCACCAAACTCCTGCATCTGCGTTTGCTGTGGCCAAGATAGCCCCTCAGGTGTCTCTGCTGGTTTGGGTGCTGTTACAGGTCTTGGCGGCTGAACATTGTTGATAAAGCTAGTAGTCGTTTTCGGTTCAGATAATTTCTCGACAAGCACTGTTTCAGTCACCTGTGCTTTCTTTGGTTGCAATGTAACAGGAGGTGCGGGAATCCGACTTTGTGTTGGCTGCTGTGGTCTGGGTGCTCTTGGCAGTCCGGAACGGCGCCCGTGGTTGATTGTGGCGGGCTTTTCTTCGGCGACACCCAGAATATCGTATATTGTTGCAATTGATCCTGAGCCGGATACGTCCTTTTTGCTCGGCGTTGTTGCATAGGCTGAGACAGGCCGTGGCACTGCTGGTCGTGGAGCTGCTGGTCGTGGAGCTGCTGGTCGTGGAGCTGCTGGTCGTGACACTGCCTGTGCTGGCTTTGGAAATGATAGCGCTGGAGTTGGCACTAACTGCTTTGGCATTGCTACGGGTGCTTGGCTGGCTGGTGTAATCTCAACGTCCATCCCATTGTCGTCGTCGTCATCGCCCTGCATATCATCTAGCGACGTATTCATCAATGCAGATTTGTTTGAAAAAGCACTCGCTGCATTCAACGGACGACCAACTGAAAAAGCGCTGCTCTTGCCGCTACTATTTCCAAATGCACTACTCTTGGCACTCGCGTTTGCAAAAGCTCCGCCTACGTTTCCAAACGCACTGCTTGTATTTCCAAACGCCCCACCGCCTTTTCCAAACACATTGGCTCCTAGATTGGCTGCCATGGTGGGCCGTGGAGGTCTAAGCGCTGGTTTTCCACTCGGCTGCATGGGCTTATCAGCAGTATTGGTTGCTGCAGCTGCGGGAGTCCACTCTTTATTTCCAAACAACTGTTGCTGCTGCGGCCTGACCGCTGCAGTCACCTGGCCACTAGCAGCATTAGGCACCCATTCGCGGTTTGCATACAAAGGACGTGCTTGGCCCTGCAGCGCAGGCCTAATCTCCTTATCGTTCGGCGTCCATTCCATGTTTGAAAACCCGCCGGCTGCCTGCCCCGGTGGCCTTGCCAATGTAGGTCTAGCGCGTACCTTTGGTACAAACACCTTTGCTCCAGGGTTCAAACCACTAGGATTTGGTGCTTTAGCTGGAGGGTTGCTGTTGGCGTGCTTAAAGATACATCCTGGTCGTGTGCACTGACCACCGTTTTCTTCGTTTCTACAAGGCACTTCGCTGGGCGGTTTGGTTGTTCGCGCTGTTGGTTCTGTCGAATGTCTTTTTCCGCAGTCATCTTCGGGGCATTGTCCTGTTTGCATAAATGCAGTGCAAACTTCTTGTGTGTTGCGCGCCCCCTGGCTATGTCGAAAGGGACATTGGTCTCCATTGCGACACGCCCCTGTGAGAAAGAAATGACAGTCGATTTTGCTTGAAGCCATAAATTAAGCACAAACACAATACTAAAAAAGAAACGCCTTGCAATTTATAATAACGTAGCAAAAAATAAACAGTCGACAAAAGAAGAAAAAGGTGGGGAATAGCTTTGAAATCGCTTTTCAAGGTCTGAACAATTATTAAACATATAAAAACTGGCTCATCATTGATAAATCACATGATTTCAAGGACATACCCTAGACCCAAATAAAAGCCTGTGCCCTGGATACTCCATGTATCCTAGGCACATTATCTGACCTTTGCTTGCAAAATACTATTTAAAATACGCATTGCAAATGTCATACGGAGCTTTCTCAAGAATAAACTACAAGCATTGACTAGTCCCACTCTTCGCAGTCACTTTTATTGTCGAATACTCGGTACAGCCAACCTACACGATAGTGCTTTGTTTAATATATCTGCCAATATCAACTAACGATATGTGTAGTCACTGGAACTGCTTAAATGCTTTAAGGAGTGGAGATATTTAAGAAGGGTTTTTTATATTTATATACAGCCAAGGCGGTGTGCTCCATAAAAGTGTATTGATTAACCATTGAAAATAATATTACCAAAATATAATGATTTGCCACGTGACATATACCCGAAACCGACTACATTGTCGCGACTACGCAAAACCGATACTGTGGTCCCTGGAACAGGCTGATGGGAAAACCGTGTTTAACGCGGGACTCCGTTCTGGAGTCCCGTGGAGAGCTGTCTAAGTAAGAAATTCCTTCTTTTTCCCAATAGAAGCAGTTTGTGGACAATTCAGCGAGACCGACATGGCGGATTATTTGGGCCTTTTCATTTCAGTGCAATTGCCTTTTGTCACCCGCCAGACATTCACATTCACACATTTAAAGTAGATACAAAAGATTCGAGCTCCCAATTGAGCTGTGTTTGAGCACAGACAGACTAGAAAGAGATAATACTGGAGCCTCGTTTACAAAAAAAGCACGTCGTAGTGAGGAATATAGATCCTTGTCATTTGCATCATACAAACCAACATAAGAAAAAAAGCACTAAACTAATGTCGCGAACCACATGGGACATACAAATACCAGTATAGTAAACTACTTAGTCAAGATCCATCCTGCCAGAAACTCCCCGCCTGTTAGCCTTGCGGCCACCAGACTTGCGACCCTGAGCGCTCTGCGAGCTAGCCGATCCAGCGGACTGGCTACCCTGCTGCTGAGAAGCGCTGCTCGTCTGCGGCATAACACGAACCATCAAAGTGCGACCATCGGCCAAAACATTGTTCAGCTTGGCAGCAGCCTCAACAGCAGACACCTTTGCAGCAAAAGTGACCTCCGCATGGCCAGACGCCTTGCCGTTCCGATCATACAGCAAAGTGCAGCTCTTGATAGTGCCAAACTGCTTAAAGCACGTCTTTACGTCCTCTGCCGATGCCTCGGAATCCAGGTTAGAAATAAAAATCGTTGCAGGTCCAGCCTCGCCCTTGATCGAGATGTTTGCTGCCTTGGTGATCTTCTTCTTCAGCTCAGCTGCCGCCTTCTTCTTGTCTGCGACACGCACGGGTGCCTCTGCGCGTCCGCCAGCCTTTCCAATACGTCCAGCCAATATACCGCCCTTGCCAGCTCCAACCCGTCCCTTCTCAACACCGCCAGTGCCTAGCCGAGCGGCTATTCCCTTCTTTCCGGCTCTGCTCGGCAGGCTAGATGTCTCGATTGCCTTGACCTGGTTGTTTTTAACACGGCGCTACGACGCGTAACAAAATCAAATCGCACACAAAACACGGCTTATTAGAAATAGACGAAAAACTCTGTACAGAAATCCACTCGCGATGCACCGGCAAATCGATTATGGATGGATTGCAACAATTCGGAAATTTAAATAATGATATCTTACCGTTGGCTTTCCGGTAGCCGCAGCTGCCGCAGCTCTCGCCGTAGCCTTCTTTGTAGCCGCAGTTCTCGCAGGCTTTGCCTTGGGCTTAGGCTTGGCTTTATCCTGCTTGCGGCTCGCTTTAATTATATCATCGAGGCTCTGGTCAAGTCTAGCGTTGAGGTCCATTGTGAACGTATTGGGCAAGAAAACAAATAAAAGGCTTTTGAATTGCAAGAAGAAAAAGAGTATATAAATGCAAGAAGAGAAAATAATATGGAAAGAAGCACCTAAAATCAAACAAAAATGCAGACTAGTATTGATTCTTGCCAAAAAAAAAAACGCGTCCTTCATTTCGCATCCACTTATTCATTTTTTGGAAATCTGCTGGGGACAATCTGATCACGCCCCCTGCTGCCCCCATCCCCATAAGCAAACAATCAGCACATAAAATTATTTTGCAAAAATGGAAATACGACGCAGCAAAACCGAACGCGGGGCTCGAACCCGCAACCCCCAGATTAGAAGTCTGGTGCGCTTCCAATTACGCCAGTCCGGCAAGCAGCTCGATACAGCTAAAAACCTCAAATTTTGGAAGCTAAACGCCTGTATACCTCCTGTAGGTCATTCTTTCTAAAAAGGTGCATTTTTTGGGGTTTCATTTGTGCTATGTATTTTGCTACTGTTGTCGAGTGTAGCCAGCACATGTTTTTAAGAGCAACGCTATGTCCAGAATTTTTTTCTGTTGTTTTATTGCAAATAGGCAGGTACTATGTGTATCTATCCACTATTTACTTACTGAATACTTTATGTTGTTCATCTATTGCATTCAGTACTGCAACTCGTTCGTTGTAGACGCTGGTATACTTGTATGCAAATAGGACTTTTCTGTGAATATAGCAAGTTTACACGTTTGTAATTGAGAAATAGATATTTATTATATAGGTTTTATATTTGACAACGTCCTACCTTGCAAATGAGTGAGTAAAAGTAGGTACTTGTTGCCACTAAAGTAGTCGACCAATATCTCGCATTCGCTATCTAGACTTTTGTCTTGAGTACATCTAAATAGACGACGCCCTTGGGAGCTATCCTTACATCCTTTGTCTTTTTCAATATTGCATGCCAGATAATATTTAAAGTGACTGCGTTTTCGTTGAAAAGATAATGTCTGTTATTCGTCGCGGGCTTCATAAAATAGGCTATTACTTCCCATGATCCTTCTCTTGTGCTTTTAGTGATCAGAATCTCAATTACCGGATTACGCATTCATCGTCTTTTTTTCTTTCGCCATAAAATAAAATGTCTGCGAAAAAAATATTCCCCAAACGATCGGGCCAACTATAACATACTCCATCCATTCGCCTATACTAGTTGCTAGCACTTTAGTCCTTTAATGCTCTGCTTGACGGCGCTATTCTTTTTTATTCCAATTGACCTTTATATATATATTTTATTTGACTTGAATTAGAAAAAAACGATGGCAAAAAAGGTGGCAGCAAAGACAGATAGACCCGCCAAAGCCAAGGGCTCTGGCCAACAAAAGGGCAGGGGTTTCGGAGGGAATAAAAAGCAGCAACAGCAGCGCACAAAGTCCAAAAAGTCAGATACAGGAACACGCAAAATCCCGACTATTGATGCACCGGCGTTATCGTCAGACGATGAGGTCGAGGACGACGACATGGAGTTTGTGCGGGAGAATGTCCAGAACCTGAGCTTCCTCAAATCCATGGATCCCGAGAAGCTCAGCAATATCACCAAGGAGGTCAAGAAGAAGGCCTATACCAACACACAAAAGCAAAAGGGCGTGCGGCCTGCTGAGCTGACAGAGTCAGAGGACGAAGATGACTATGGGCTGGTGGCCGAGGACAGCGACTCTGATCTCGAGGTGCTTAGCGAGGACGACGGTAAGCTATCTGATGACGAGGAGGACGAGGATAATGACGATCTTCTGGAGGACCTTGAGATGACTGGATCAGAGGCCGAGGGTAGTGCCGATGAGGAAGACAGCGTCGAGGATGTTGAAAGTCTCAGTGAAGACGAGAGTGCCTCTGACAATGACGACGACGATGAGCAGGAGGACGGAGACAGTGGCAGCGACGCTTCAGACCAAATGAACTACAACATGAGCACCAGTAAGGACCGCCGCATGCAGAAACGCAAGGCTATGCTAGAGGGATCCATGGGCTATGAGCAGCAGAGCCGCTCGTTTGGGCATTTGGAGAAGAAACAAAAGACGTCTAGCAAACTCCCAATCAAGACTGCCGATGGTCGTCTGGTGTCGGTCGATGACTCTGAAGAGGAGGGTGTTAGTAGTGAGGATGAAGCAGAGGACGTCGATGAAGAGTCGGATCAGGGCAGTGCTGACTCGGGTTCAGACGCTGACTCAGACTCGGGCTCAGAGTCGGATTCTGAAGACAAGCCTAAAGGGCGCAAACAGGGCGCTGCTGGCGGAGATGGCGATGTGCTGGATCTGAGTGCTGCACCTGACAGAGAGCAGATGACGCGCAAGCAGTATATCGTTGCACAGCAGATCCGCTTGGCTGGTCTCGCAGACCGCGTCATGCAGAATCCCGAGAACGGATCAAAGGCGCTTCGCTTGCTTAACGAGATTAGCGAGGACAAGGATCCACGAGTCAGACAATTGGGTCTCCTGTCGCAGCTGGCGGTCTACAACGATATTCTCCCTGACTATCGCATCCGCGAGCTGACTGAGCGCGAAAAGAAGGCCAAGGTCACAAAGGACGTGCGCCAGCAGCGGATGCAGGAGGAGAGCCTGATCAAAAACTACAGCGCGTACTTGAAGCAGCTGTTTACCGCGGTTAAGAAGGCCATCAAGATTTTCAAGGACCCGTCGGCAGACATTGCCACGGGAGTTGTCGCAGCCCGGGCTCTCGGAGAGCTAGTCAATGCGCACCCGCACTTTAACTTCCGCAAGGACATCATGTCGGCGCTCATCGACATTTACGTGCAGCCCTCGTCGCGCATCAACTTTGCCGCCTTCACGCCCATGGCCACAACCGCTCGCCTGGCTATTCTGCGCCTGTTCCGCAACGACATATCCGGCGAGTACTCGCAGAACGCCGTCATCCTGGCCTCCAAGAGAATCAAGCGCCTGTCCTACAGAGTCGACCCCAGTGCCCTGCGTCCCTGGCTACATCTGCGGCTCCGCGAAGAGCTGCGCGAGAACCCCGACGACCGCAAGAAAAAGGAAGAGGAGCAGCGCCGCAAAGAGTTTTTGCGCGAGAAGCAGAAGGCGCTCAAACGCAACAAGGGAAGTGCAGCGCTGAAGGAGGCGAAGCGCGCAATGTACGAATCCAAGAAGCAAGTAAAGGCCCGTAAGGTACAGCAGGAGGTGGACAAGTCGTTGCGCGAGGCTGAGGCCGAGGTGTCGCGCGAGGAGCGCGAAAAGTGGTACGGCGAGACGCTCAAGCAAGTGTTTATCACGTACTTCCGCATTCTCAAGCAAAAGGACAACATCGGCGGCCTGCTCCCGGCGGTGCTGGAGGGTCTCGCCAAGTACGCGCACCTGATCAGCGTCGAGTTCTTTGTTGATCTGTTCCACCTGCTTAAGAAGATCATGCGTGGCCAGCACGGTGTCGGAATCGGCGCCGAGGACACCACATCTACCGAGGCTGAGGCTGACGCCAACGATGCGGTGTCGTCGCGAGTGAGCCTGCGCACGTCGCTGCTGTGCATCCTCACTGCGCTTCACATTCTGTGCGGCCAGGGCGAGGCACTCAACTTGGATCTGAAGGACTTTTTCTACCAGCTCTATGCACTGCTCCCGCCGCTCAGCACAAACGCCCAGATCGAGGCCACGCGCATGTCGGCGCTGTCAGACGGAACGCGCTACACGGTGTACCTGTCTCCTGCCGAGGTCGCTGCCGCTAACGCTCTGCGCATTGGCCAGGAGCGCGACGCAAAGGAGGATGGTGCCAAGCAGGAAGGCGACAACCAGCTGAACGAGGCTATGTGGGAAGAGACGGTGCGCAGCGAGGCGGATCTTTTGTTTGAGTGCCTGGAGCTCATGTTCCTGGGTCGCACCAAGGTGTCTTCACTCACACGCGTGTCGTCGTTCTGCAAGCGTCTTTGCGAGGGCGCTCTGTACTGGCCGCCCAAGACGGCTGTGCGGGCCATCGAGTTTGTGCACCGTCTGGTTATCAAGTACCCATCCATCGACCGTCTGTTTTCGTCTGAGGAGCAGGCCGGTAGCGGGCTGTATATGAGGGAGATGGACGATCCAGACATGTGCAATCCCTACGCCACCTGCCTGTACGAGCTGCACTGGCTCCAGATCCACCACAACGCTGCTGTCCAGTCTGCTGCCGTCCGGCTGCTAGAGTTTGCAAAGGCCGAGGAGAAGAAGCACAAGATCTAGCTCTCTTGCCATTTCCAGGCCTGCTTTTGATGGACAGCGTCTTTCTGGAGACGTGGGCACGGGAGGCCGGTTACTCGTGCTGGCGTACAGCTTTCTATTTTTCTATTGTTTATTTCAAACGCATAGGCTTTTTTCCATATATACTTGCAGCACTAACCAATTCTGCGCAGAGAAAAAGGAGCCACACGGGGATGCAGGCTGTTTAAGCGTAAAAGATACCTTGGTAAGCCCGGAAAAGGTGCGTGTTATTGTATTGCTCCTGTATTGCTCGGTAAAAGAGGGTTTGGTCAGCAGTAATTGCAAGCCCAAGGCCTTTATAGTTCCAGGGGCTTATTTTCCTCTGTTGCTCAAGCCAATTTTTTAAAGCGCTTGAAAGTGGGGCATAACAATCGGGCAAGGTCACCGAATTGTAATAAGGTCGGCATGCGCGCATCAAACCAGCGCTCGAGTTTTTATACTGGTGGGGGGGCAAGCTCTTTCTTCTCGAGTGTATTTTTTCGATATTTAATTACTTGCTGCTCTTTTTTTGTATAAGGGACCCTTGGCGTCTTGGTATTTTCTTTATTCAGTCTACAAATTGCGCTTCTAGTTCCAACGGTATCTTGTACTCGAGGCGATACCCAAAAAACCCGGGGCTACAAAGACAGACTCTAAAGGCGTGTCTTGGGGTACCTAGTAGGCTATAGTTCATTTCTAGTAGCTTGCAATTTGAGCCCCCACCTCCTTTTATACTCATTTGCCCCCTGCTCTGCAAAGTACATTTTGCAAGCTGCTTCTACGCGTGCCCAAATTTGCAGCTTCTTTTTCATAAAGAAAGCACACGCCTTTTTAATATCTCTTTAAACTCCTTTATATACGTCTTGTACATTAGCTCTTTATTCCCCTTTCGTACTACTCTTCACTTATTATTATTATTATTTCTCGCTCTTTGTCGCCCTGTCCTTTTTCACCCGCACGCGTTTTTCAACACGCCTTTATTTTATTCGCTCATTCGCTCATTCTGTCTATTGCACTCTCGGCTGCTTTTGAGCCGAGCATTCGAGCTGCGTCGCTTCCTCTCTTTTTGAGCAAAAAAGGCTTTTTCTGTTATTTCTCGGAATTAGCTACACGCCTTCTCCCTTCCTGCTAACTGAGGAGGTTTAAGTTGGCTCTTTTTATTTCTTGGCCGCCTGTCGACG